ATGTTCTGTTCCTCTTAAAATACATGTCCTTTGAGGCTGCTGATAGGAAAGGCAGACCTATATCTACATTAAATGTTTCTTTGATATTCTGCTTAGACATGCATTTGTCAAAGGGCTTAGTTTAGGTGTTTTATTAAATAGAACAGGCTTAAAGATTGCGTGTTACAGGAGAAAATCATTGCATCTAAGAAACTGAGTCTCTCTGTATTCAAAGGGGTTTTGATATATGTTAAACACCAAATGACACCTTGCTTTTGGATAATGGAAAGTTTTTCTAGTTATATTTTGGGTTAATGGAAAGCCTTTAATTCAGAATATGATTAAATGGTTTCAAATTTTCTTCAGGAGTGACAATTTTCACTTGTCTTAAGGTATTCATCTGTTTAATCTTTTCAGTGGCAGTCTTGTTTCCATTTTACTCATTATTTTGAGTTACTAACAACTTTATTTCATATGAAATGCTGCTTTCTATTCCATTTCATGCTTGCTCTCAGAATTAGCAGAAGAGATGAATTCTTGGAAACTGGAACAAGATGTTTCTGAAATGTTGCTCAAAGCTGACAATGGATCAGAATCAAAAAATGCAGTGAACATACATTGAACGTGGCTTTGTGGACGAGTGATTGGTGTCTTACAGCAAGTTTGCGTTAATACAACTAAATTTCTTGCTTTGGTGTAAATCCATGTTTTTAAGGTTCATGGCATTAAGAAAATAGTATTTGTATAATTTCCATATTTGCCACATCACAGAATTAAGCTGTAAAAGGGTAAACATGGTGGCCAGCATTAGGACACTTCATCTGGAAGGTGGAATTTGCCTCTTTGGAGAGAGTTGGATCTAAGCTAGAGATTAAGCCTTGCACTGCTCAGGAGGAAGGACAAAACCTCCAGACACTGCTGAGAAAATGGCACTGAGCATTATCTTATTCTGCYAACAGGCTGTAGATTGCATTCAGTGATTTCTTTAAAAAAAAGCAGCAGAAGAATCATTTTTAGTTTTCATCGTCACTTGTTTGTTTTTGTTGATGTTGTTTTTTAATTACATATTACTTTTACATCTTCTGGGTTAAGGAAAAAGCTGGTGCTGGTTTTTTTTTCCAAAGGGTCAACTAACTTGAAGCCTGAAGTCTATGTAAAATAATACAAAATACTAGTTAAAATCACTGCAGTTGAAATAGTTCCCAGGAACTTCTAAGTTGTAGAACATACTAAGTTGTAGAATTTGCCCTTAATTATGATTTAATTCAATGATCTAATTTAGGATAATAACTGAATTTAATAAAACCTTTCTATTTTGCAGTGTAACATAATGTATGGGGTAATGGTTAGACATCTAAATTGCATGCTTTCCTCCTAGTAAAAACTGATACCCCTTCATTACCTTTGCTTCCCAAAAAACTGACTCAGAAGTTGTGAGTTGTGAACTCAGGTTTGCAGGTTCAATATAGAGACAAAACGTCTAAAAATGGAGACTTTTTATATTGCTCTCACCTGCTCTCAGAATTACTTGTGAGAAAACGAAGCAGAGATTTTCCTTTTCTGTTTTGMCACTGTGAAAGTAATAGTGCAGAAAAGTCGAGCAGCAGAATGAAATTGTCTGGGTTACAAACTGAGAAGTGCTAAAGTTTTGGATTTGTATGTGTGTGTATTTTTTTTCAACCACTTTGAATTAGGTAAGATTTTCAGAGTTATTTACACACTTCTGCTTAGCCAGTTATTCCTGGGTGATTAAAGCTCTTCTAGCCCTTTGCAGATTGAAATATTTCGTGTGACCTAAGTTGGGATGGTGTTGCTGTCTTGGTTTGTTGAGAGCTGGTGCTGATTTAATTGGTACCAGWAGCAGAAGAAAGAGGACAAGAGCCAGGGAAAATGAGTGACATCCTTTTTTTCTTCCTAGTGGAGGCCTATTTTGACCCACTGAGGTGGCAATAGAGTAGCTTTTATCAGATATGATCACTGAGGCATCAGCACATCTAGCAAGTCCGTTAAATTTTTTAATTACACTTAATTATTGTCTCGCTGGTAATTTTTCCCCATGGGCGTGTGAGTATTTGCTTCTTGAGAATCTCTTTGCTGTGAGGCAAAAAATCCCTTCTAAGCTGAGTCTGCTGCATGTGGGCTCACAGGTGTGGGGAGCAGGGAGGAGAAAATTGGAATGGAATGGAATGGAATGGAATGGAATGGAATGGAATGGAATGGAATAGAATAGAATAGAATAGAATAGAATAGAATAGAATAGAATAGAATAGAATAGAATAGAATAGAATAGAATAGAATAGAATAGAATAGAATANGAATAGAATAGAATAGAATAGAATAGAATAGAATAGAATAGAATAGAATAGAATAGAATAGAATAGAATAGAATAGAATAGAATAGAATAGAATAATGGAATAGAATGGAATTGATGTATAGAATAGATGAATAGAATAGAATAGAATAGATGAATAGAATAGATGAATAGAATAGAATGGAATGGAATGGAATTGAATAGATGAATAGAATAGAATAGAATAGAATAGAATAGAATAGAATAGAATAGAATAGAATAGAATAGAATAGAATAGAATAGAATAGAATAGAATTATTAAGGTTGGAAAAGAGCTCTAAGATCATCAAGTCCAATATTTGACCAAACAATATTGTGTTCAACTAAGCCTTAGCACTGAGTGCCATGTGCAAAACCAGAGCTGTCCTTTGAATTGAACCGAGTCTTGTAAAATAGGATAAGGGTTTGCCTTAGCTATGGGAGCAGGATTTGAGATTGCAGAGCTGTCAGTGCTTTTGCTTAGATTTGTTTTTACATTTAAGTAGCACAAAAGTGTTGATTTATGTATTGAGTCATGGCAAGCTGAAATAGGAAGTTCTAATACTCAGATGCTAATGTAGCCTTTTCTTGGTTTTAACACTAATACTTTAGTCTGCCTTTAGAGAAAACTAAAATTCAAAACAAATGAGATCATGTCTTTAAATTCTGGCTGATTAATTACAGAATTATTTTTTTAGTTCATTGGGGATTGTGCTTACCTGAGTCAAAGTTTATAAACAGAAATGGCTATAAAATGTATTAATATGTATTRCTATTACTAATAAGCTAAGATCTTAAATAAAGGAATAATTTGCATCCTGATTGCTGAGACAATGGGTTGTTTCGTGCGAGTGAATCAACTGGAGGGAAATACTTAAACTTAAGACCTGATAAAAAATAAAGTTCTAGTTCAGAATTTTTATTTGGGAGACTTTATCCCACTTCTGATTTAGCAGAGTTTATTGGGTGTCTTTCAAAATATTAGGTCTGTTTCTGAGAAAACTGTCTGATGGTCTAATGACATTGTATAATTACTTACATGCCTGCTTTAGGCAGTGCATTATTTTGTATATTTACAAATATATGTCAAGAATATTTTTAATTAGTTTATAATAAGAAATACATGAGCTGTATGTCTTCACCATCATATTAACCAAAGAGASACATTCCTTCTTTATTAACAGAACAGAGGAGAATGACCATTTTGGACAGAAACTATATTTGCTTTAGCAAACTAATTAGTGGTCTGTTTTAAGATGTTTCACAGTGTGCTTTTGCTTTACCTTATGAACAGGTGAACTAAAATTATCTTTTTTCTTATGCCTGGAAGTCTCTTGGCTGCTGTTACCTGATGACTTCACATAACATTTATTTTACTATAAGGATGTGGTCGAATATAAATACTGTATTTTCACTTCTTGTATTTCAATTTTCTTGTAGACATTTCAGCAGTCTTCTCTGCAGCAGAAAAGTAAAAAGAAGAACAAAGGTAAAAAATAAATTTGCTTTCATGTATTGGTAGGAAGGGAAATGCCAAAATAAATGTTGTGGTACTGCAGCATGTGAGGAGCTATGACATGTTAGCTCCAGTAAAATACTCAGTTCACTTGGTCATGTTGAGAATGTTTTAGACCATTACTGATGTCTCATAGTTTCCTAATGCTCCTCTACCTTCATCTGCTTTTATCTTCTTTTTTAAACTTAGACTCTAGCCTCTTTGGGGCCAGGGTTGGTTTTTCCAGCTGTGTTCAGGTAATGCCTCACTGCAGCACTTGCTCATTACCTACGCTCTCAGGTAATTTATATCACAGTAAATTTTCCTCCTTTGATTTACAAGTACAAAGGCCTTAGGAACTGTTTAGATTCAAAAGGAGCTGCAAAGAGAGGTTTGTGAATACCTGTGAAGTACTTAAATAGTTGTATTTGGCAACTGAGTGGGAAGTACATGAATTTATATGTTGTGTGCTTTATTCTGATGTGAAATTTTAATGTGTTGATGATTATAAATAACCATTTTTCTTATTTTTAAAATCTTGCCTTTCTTTTCCCTACAATGTCTGCTCTTTCTGTGTTGCTTTTTTTTCTTATTTTTAAAATCTTGCCTTTCTTTTCCCTACAATGTCTGCTCTTTCTGTGTTGCTTTTTTTTCTTTCTTTTTTTTTTTTTTTTTTTTTTTTTCTTGGTCTTATCCATAGAATACGAGCTCTGAGATGCTGAACATGGTTTGGTTTGACTTGCTTTGGCTTCTTATGGTGGCTTGCATAAGCTTTGTGGTCAAAATATAATGCTTGTAATAATCTTTCATGGCAAATTGAGGTTTAAAATTTTTAATCCATTTTCTTAAATAGATAGTGCTTTCTGACTAGGTGTGTTATTGATTTAGTGGACAAATCAAATGCTTTCACATCACCTCGTTGTCATTTCCAGCTCCTATTCCTGGTAAAAGCAAAAGAAGGATCTCATGTAAAGATCTTGGACGAGGGGACTGTGAAGGCTGGCTTTGGAAAAAGAAAGATGCCAAGAGTTATTTCTCCCAAAAATGGAAAAAATACTGGTTTGTTCTGAAGGACACATCTCTATATTGGTATATCAATGAAGAGGTAAACATCTGTRCTCGTGGTCTCAACAAATGCTTTGTGTAGTGCTGTTGTCATGCTTTAGTGGGAAAKCAATGCTTTCAGTGCTTCTATATGTTAATAACTATGTTCACCCAAATAATTATACTGAAATTTATATTAACTGCCTTAAAAAAATACCATGAAGGTCTGGAGATACTTGTTCCTTCCAACTCACCTTTTACTACATGAAGAAATAACAAAGTTTTGTGTGTCCTGATGGCACCAGTTTAAAATTAATTTATCCTCAAACCCTTGAAAGSAAAAAGGTAGTTATTTAATCCTGTCAGTCAAGCTTACTCTTGGGAATGTAAACTTTAATATTGTGCTCCCTGGTGTTCCTGGTTTATCTGTGCTGGGCAATTAAGGAAGAGAGTTCTGTTTTCTCAGTTGTGCTCTCCTGTTGTTCCTTYTTTGTAGCTTTTGATATGATTTCAGGACTCACATATGCTGAATTTAAAAGCATTGGAGCATCCCAGCTGAATTGTGTMCAGCTTTGAATATGCAACATATTCTGCATTGCTGCACATTTGTTGTGTCAGCTTTAGCAGCAAAGCTTTTTCCAAGTGTTGGGATACCTTGATTTTAAATCTTGTTAGATTTACTAGTAAATATGCTGAGATAAAATCATTGTTCACATGTGGATGCACTCTGTCCTGGACTTGTTTTTTTAAATCAAAGCAAGCATTTGTACATAACCTTTTCAAAGTAATCCCCAACTTTTCCCTGAGTAAACACAAAACAAGTTATTCCATGACAAGAGTTATCACAGTCTATTTTCAAAAATGTAATAGCAGGATTATTCTAAACAGTGTCTTTTTGATTTAAAATACCTGCTAATGCAGAACTTGTTACAACCCTGTACCTTCCACATAATGAATCCAGTTCCAGAGTTTGTGTCTTTTATTTWTTTTTTAWTTWTTTTWWTTTTTTATTTATTTTTAAGAAGGCATATAATCATGTGGACTGCATATGTGGTGTAAATAACAATTTGAATTCTGAGAAAAAGATGTAATTCTGTGGAATTCCTTAACATAYATTTGTGTTTTTTCAGCTTCATTTATATGATCCTGTATTAATTTGGCATGCAAAGTTATGAGCAGTTAAATAACAGAGTCTGTGTTATTGATGTAATATAAATTAATATAAATAATGCTTTCAAACTGTGAAAAGTCAAGGGAGATTAAATAGCTGATAAAACAAACTGTGTAASTCTTGAGAGGAGAGGAGAGGAAGGTCAGATGTATTCTGAGTGTGGTGAAGAGATGAAAGTAACTGAAGAGGTATCATGCCTCCTATGTGATGCATAAAAATTATAAACAACACACATTGAAATTGCTTTTTACCCTATTTCTTACAGTAGGCTGCATTTCTCTTTACTAATTAGTCCATTTCCCCCAAAAATCAACTAATTACAATAACTAATTGACTGAATACATTTGGTCATTTTGTGTATTTTCAAAYGGTTCAGCTGTGAAATCGTTTCAGGAAACAGGGTATTTAAAATTGTATTTTACACCAAGGGATTTGTCTTGCTACTTTGGCAAAAATCCCAGTGACTTCTATGGGAGGTTTGCCAGAGCAGAGCAGGCATTAATAATATTAATAATTGCCATTAACATTAATATTATGTAAGAAGCAGGCAAGTGAAAATATTTATAAGTTTTTGGCATGGTGGGTTTTTTTTTTTTTTAATGATACTTCAGCTGCAGTAATATCTGGAACTATCTTTGCAGGATGAAAAAGCAGAAGGATTCATCAGTCTACCTGAATTTAAAATTGACAGAGCCAGTGAATGCCGCAAGAAATAGTAAGCATGCTCAAAAATAATGCAATGATAYCATAAAAATAGTGGAACAAAGGACAAGGTTTGAGTTTAAAACAGGGACATARTGAACTTTGTTAAAATTGTCATCAGGTTGTATCACAGAATAAGCTCATACAGAAAAAGCAATTTAATTTTGGTGTTGTGTGTGCCATCTTGCCCAAAGAAGGCTATTTTTTCACTTCAKCATGAATCACAGTGCTTGACTAGAACAAAATGAATTATGAGCAAGAAGACTGCTGGCTGCTTCTGTCCCTTTATTTTCCTAGTTTTCCTTTCTTTTTTTTTTTTCTTTCTGTTTGGGGTTGTGATTTTTTTTAATTTGTTTGTTGGGGGTTGAGATTGTTTGTGTGCTTTATACTCAGAAAAGAGCTTAAAGCATAATGCAGARACCATCCAAGTAAGAAAGTCACCAAATTCATGGCCATAATAAATACATTATCTATATTTAATCTAACTCCAAATTAGTTAGCATCATCTCAGAGTTTGCTGAGACAATATTTCAACCCTGAGCCAGAGTAAAAAAAAAGAGAATGACAGTGATTTGGTTTGGTTTTTGGTACATGACCTAAAGGTCTCCAAGAACATTTCTTCTCACCTGTTTATCCAGATTTGTGCCATTGGACAAGTCTATTTATTATTTAGATAAATTCAAGCATATGTAGCACTGTGACARGTGTATGCTCCCACAGAGATATTTTTAGTCATTATTTCTCAAAATTTTTTACCTTGTCTTATAATGATTTGTACAGTTTTTTTTTTTTTTTAAGAAGACTGAAATTTTTGCAAAGCATCATTTGCAAATGTAAAATGGTTTGGTTTGTGGCACCTACAGTTCTGCAGAAAGCACTGTCACTGCATCAGTTGATCTGTGTATTTGTTTAGGATGAACTCTGAACTTCAAATGGGTCTCAAAGGGCAGAAAACAAAAACTGCATTTAAAAGAAAAAAAATACATTAGCTTGAACCTATTGTCTGTGTCCTTGAGCCACATGGTTGAAGTGCTTAATTTGGTTTTTTTTTGTTGGGGCAGCAGCATAAAGTCAACTAATTTCTCAGAGCTGCTCCAGTGTCAACTGAATAGCAGCTCATAAAATGTGGTTATTAGGATTCTTCTTTGTGTGTAGATAAAGGGAAAAAAATCCTCCAAGAATCCAGATGRCAGATGCTGTAGCAGTTTTAAGAAGTCCAGTTTTAGGTCTCAGTAACTTGATGATGTCTTTGTAAACTGAGCAGATGGGATAGGCTTTTTTTATTTACTTTAGTAATTAGTGTATATATTTGTGTTACACATATATTGGTTAGTGAGGTTGTTACTTTTTACTTATTAGTATTGGATTGTAGRTTTGTAAAAGTTATAGTATTAGTAATGTTTATAATTGTAAGTTATTTGTATTATTAATTTTATATTTTAATCTTTTTTTTTAAGATAGTTAAGGATGTGGCGGKTTTTTTTTTCCTMTGCAAGCTGTTAACACTCCCTACAATGATGCTCTTCATGTATCATGTTTGCAGTTTTCCTTATTTGGGACTGTTGCATTTTTATGTTCTTATTTTTAAGAGACACCTTCAGATTACTCTCAAAATTATTATTATCTGATGTAAACTATTAATTATTCCAAATGCATTTCCTGGGTCTTCAAGTGCTTCACCATAAATCTTTATTCAACATGGTTAAAAGAGTCTTTCTAGTAATTTATTTCGTATTATGTATGCAATGCAGTAATTCTTTTAGCCCAGTCATGTTGATTACTTTGGTGGAAAGAAAAGATGACATTTAATTGCCCATTGCTTAGGATGACCTCATGAACACAGTGTTGATTTATGACAGCTTTTCAGAAGTCARTCAGCACATCATATTTGCCTGCTTGAAATGCAGTCATTAGAGCTAAAGGTAATGTCAAAGTCATTGGGATGGGAGAAATCACAAGGACTGAGAATTTTCCTCTTGTATTGAATTAATTGTTCAGTTTTCTGTTCAGCTATATGTATATCAGCAAAATTACCTGATACACAAAATTATATCCTTCACTGATTAATTTTATCCACTTCCTACACTGCAGGTGATGGTTGGACAATTATTTATGCACATATGAATCGAGGATTATTTAGAAAGGGGTAATTGAAAAGCACTTTACCTGGTGAAATCTGGCACAATCCTAAAAGTTGTATGTTCATATATTATTTGGGAGCATGCAGCAACTCAGAAATATGAACTCATCTCATACCTTGGTGACCATGTAATCTTACATTTCAGAAAAAAAAAAAAAAAAAAGAGCGTTGTGCCATTACATTTTTTTAATTATGTTTTTCCTCTACAGTGCATTCAAAGCCTGCCATCCTAAGATCAAAAGTTTTTATTTTGCTGCTGAACATCTAGATGATATGAACAGGTAAGGAAATCTAGCAAAGTTCAAGGACCCATTCCTTAAATATGAYGCTTCTAGAAGCTACTAATAGCAAAGTGGTAATAAATTAAAAATTAAATGTAACTTTTTTAATCTAAAAAGTTACATTTAATTGCTGAGAAAATAGGTGCAGAGTAACATTTTTTTTCTGACTGGCTTCATATGTTAATTACTCAATTCATGCAAAAATTGCATCTTATTTGATACAAAGGTTTGAAATCTTTAGAAACACAATTTCCCTGTTTCTAAAGAGAAATAAATACAGTGTGTGAAACAATATCTAAACACAAGTTGAGCATTCCAGATTTTTGGGTTTGGATTTTGAAATCTCCAACTCTTCTTCCTTTCATAATCCCAAACAAATCTGATTCTCTCTCTGGGAGTCCTTCTGTTTCTTGCCCTGGAGGGAATGAGAAGTTGGAGAAAGATTTAAAGCAGTTACTGTTTTTTTTATATGCCAGTCTTGAAAAAGGAGTGGGGGTTACAAGTAATGAATTTTGCAGATTCTCTCTACTTTCATGAATTTTGAAGKGAAATTTTGGTTGTATTGAATTTGATAGGGGAAATTTTGGCACTTCAAAAAAGAACAAGGACTTAAGTCTTAGTTCTTTGACTGTTGAATTTTACTGTATCTGTGATGGGCCCYTTGTGCAATTTTTCAGAAAAATTATTGAGACTTCAGCACAAAATAAACACAATTCCTTCTAATTCATTTGAATGGTAAATTAGAACATGAATSCCATGTTTATTCAAATATTAGGGGGTTTATTTCATTTCTTTTCACAGTATAAACTGAAATTAATTCAGTTCAAAATAATATGCCATTTCCATCCAATGACAGAGGACACAAACAAAAATCTATTATTGCAACCTGAGAATTGTTCTGTTATCTTAGATAATATCTATTGATATCCTGGCTGACTGGAGTTGTTTTTAAAACAGAAGAAAAAGGAATAAAACTGAATCCATAAAATTTATTAAGTCCTGTAGTCATGGTTTAATCTCTCCTGTGTGTACAAGATTCAACACCTTCAGGGTGCTCTGAGTTCATAATATTTGATAATATTTGGCTGCAAAAGCACACTGATACTATACTGTGCTTGCTTTTTTTTAGAAGTAGCTGTCTTAAAAATTTTTTCTGAAGTTTGTGCGTGACTGAAGCTCACTTCAAAAGTCTCTTCTCAGTTAGAAAACTTAAAACCTTTTTTTATTTGTTTGTGAAATTTTAGGCTTGCCTTTCCTCGATAATTCTGTCACTCAAAATGCAATTTGCTGCCCAGCAAACAGAATAATAGCATGGTGTAAATATGACCTATCCTGAATAAATCATTTCTGTCRGCACATCCTCAGTCAGTATGACAAGACACCTTTTTTTTTAAGGATAGACATTTAACTAATTGTTCAGTAATCAGAAAGCAGCAGAAAATATGCAACAATATTTTAAAAATACATTGCACAGTATAAAACTCAGGAATGAAAAGATTTTTATCTTCCCACCACAAATAGTCCTTTTATCATTTTGAAATAGGTGCTCATTAATTTMTTTTAGAATGAGCTTGGCAAAATTTTGATCTGAGTTATTCACGTGTAAATTTAAATCAAGTTAAGTAGAATTACTTGAAATTATTACATTTGAGTTGCCATCAGAGTCTCACCAAAGAATTTAAATTTTTCTCTTCATTTTATGTTTTAGAAAAATTAGTTCACTTTCACAAACATAGAATTAATTCAATAGATTGGAAAAAAGTGACTGAAAAATATTCTTTCAAAAGCAGGTCTAAATAAAATACTTCCTGTCTAAAAGTATTTTGAAGCCTAGATGAAGTAAAACGCAGAATGAAGTTATGAAGATAAATTAATACTCTTTTCATCATTTTATGTTCTTTTTTTTTGTCAAGTTTCTGACATAGATTCTAGTTAGGTATCAGGCAGTCATTTCAGTTTTGTTTCTACTTGAAGCAGAAGAAACAACAGTAGAAAACTGCTTATACATAACCTGACTGAAAGTTCAAAATGGTTCAATCCCTTCATCCCTTGTATAAAATTGTTTTTATAAAAGCAAATGTTTGCAGGCTCTGAAGTTTTTGTTTGTGTGTATCTACTCACATAAAATGGGTATTTCAATCTCAGGTAACTCTGTCACTATTCCAATTTTTTTATTACTTTTATGACTGTGCCACACCATTGTGCTGGTAAGGAGAGCTRTAATCACTGAATTGTTGCTGTGGTGTCTGAAATCACCTTAATCTATATGGTTGCACCAGCAAAATGGTTTTTTTTTTACCCACCAACTGTGTGAGAAGGACAGAATATCCTTTGTAGATGYSAAGTATTATTTTTCTGGTATAATTKTATGGTATGGAAACATTTTGCTTGGAAATTCATTGTTATTCTYTTCATTCTGGTTGAACTGCATTCAGGTTCTCACAGACTTTTTGAGGTACCCATATTGCCATCCTATAGCCTTGAGTTTTATGATTTAAAAAAAAATAATCATATTGCTTTGATTAAATTGCTTTGACTAAAAGTGTTGTATCTGCCTGGACTGTGAGAGAAGACAGAGAAATGTTTCCTACTAGTCTGTGAGAGGTGGAGTACTGTGCATACTTCCTTGCAGAAATTGAAGGTCTGCAGAAAGTCAGGGTTTTTTAAATCCTATTCTATGTGTCATAAAACTGTTTTAATTAAATACTGACAAGAAATGAATGTGCTGTTCTTAAA